AAAACCTTCTGGAACTTGGCTTTGTTCATCTCCGGCCCTACCTAGATGGCTCCCCACAGCCAAAGGCCAGGAGTCTGATCCCATGGCACAGCATTCAAAGTCTCTCCCAGATGTGGCCACGGCAGTCCCCTCCCCATCCTGTATTTCCTGCCCCACAGAGCTGCTATCCCTCTGGCCATGGCAAAGGCGTCATGTCCCTGCTGCTACATAGGCTGGTGGGGCTCCGCACAATACGATGTCATTTGTCTGTCCTGGAGTGGAGAGACTGGGGACCCGAAGATGGTAGGGCTTGGACTGGGAGGCAGTGGCAGCTGGATGCTTAAAATAGGGGAGAAGCGTGCGGAATCTGGGCCTGGCACAGTCGTAGCTAAAATCCTTGCCTTGCATGCAGTGGGATCTCATATGGGCGCTGGTTCTAATCCCGGTGGCCCTGCTTCCCATCCAGCTCCCTGCTTGTGGCCTGGGAAAGTAGTCAAGGACGGCCCAAAGCCTTGGGACCCTGCACCCGCGTGGAAGACCTGGAAGAAGCTCCTGGCTTCAGATAATTTCAGCTCTGGCCATTGTGGCCACTTGGGGAGTGAATCAGAGGATAGAAGATCTTTCTCTTTGTTTCTCTTTCTCTCTACAAATCTGCCTTTCCAATGAAAGATATATATATATATATATATATATATATATAATTTTTTTTTTCAAAAAAGTGTGTGGGGGTGGGAATCTGGAGAGCAGGGCCAAGACGAGGGACCCGGTCAGCGAGGCCAGGCTGAGCTGCAGGAACAGGGGTCTGTATGGGAGGTGTGTGACCGCCACTCATTGTGGGGTCTAGAGTGTGAAGGACAGTGGCTTGTGGACCCTGGGGGACTGCACCATTGAGGAGGAAGATCAGGAGTGGGTGGAGCTCAGAGAACTGGGCTGGCAGAAATGTAGGACCCCGGGGTGGGGTGTGGGTGGTTTAGGAGAAGGTTGCCCCTGAGACGAGCCCAATTTTGGAGGACTGTAGCCTCCTCTGAAAATGTTAAAATGTTTTGATTTTGATTTTATTTAAAAGGCAGAGACACAGACAGAAAATCTTTGCACCTGCTGGTTCACTTCCCAAATGCCCACAACAACCAGGGCAGGACCAGGTAGATCCAAAGCCAGGAACCCAGACCTCAAATCCGGGTCTCCCACCTGAGTGAGCAGACCCTGGATTCTTAAGTTATCTCCTGCTGCCTCCTTGAGTGCGCCTCAGCAGGAAGCTGTATGGGAAGCAGAGCTGGGACTGGGGCCAGGTACTGCCCTCTGGGATGCAAGCATCCCCAGCGCCTTGCGTGAACGAAGCACTGACAGAATCTGCGTCCTGTGTGTACTGCGGTGGGTCTGGCTTCTGTGGCTCCAGCTGACCTCTATGTAGCTGCAATCTGTTCTCTCGTTGCTGCCAAGGCTTCCGACAGGAGCCCTTCAAGCCTCACCCTTTCTTCTGCTGGACTCCCTAGCTGCTTCCTGCCTCCACTGAGTACCATCTCCGGTCGGGATGAGCTGGAGAGCTAGTGTTGCTGTGAACCCATTGTGTTAGAATCAAAGATGCTGAGGTGGGGGATTTGGGGTTCCTGAGCCTCAGAGCGACCTGCAGAACTGGTAGGTGAGTTCCCCAGGGGTTCCCTGTGGTGAACAGAATCAGAGGCTCCTGAATGTCCTCTGGAGCCAAGTCCGGCAGGTGGGATATCTTACTGGAGCCAGGATGGCACATGGACTCCCCGATGGGACACTGCCCCATATCTGCAGGCTGCAGAGATCGGAGCCCCCGCCCCCACCCCGCTTACTGCGAGTCCAGCAGTGACAGTGGCTATCATCGCAGGCGCCCTGTGTGTCCAGTACAGAGTGGCCTGATGCTCTGTGTGTCCCAAGAACTGGCTCCTGAGCCCAGTATAGATGTGTCCTTTAGCCTCAGCTCTGTGCCCTTATCTCTACCTAGGGAGGCAGAAAATCCTAACCATCCTCCCCGCCCCCGGTGTGGGATGGGGTCCTCCCTGGGAGGGGGTGTCTAAAGGATGAGACTGCATGCCCCCCATTCTGAAAGCATCATCAGGATTGAGCGTGAGAACCTGAGCAGGATTTCTTCCAGGCCTGACCCCCCTCACAACTTTGTGCCTGTTTAACCCCTTCCCTGTCTGCCCCGACCCTCCTTCCCAAACACTTGTTCCTCGCCCGCTCCATGCCAGACACTGCCAGTGAGGCTCATGCTGGGGCAGGTTCTACCTGCTTGGGGGAAGCTCGACACACAGTGACACCCCACAGAATTGTGATACCCCATGGTATTGTGGCACCTGTGAGTGCCATAGGCAGAATTGAGGGGAGCCAAAAGAGGGGGCCAGACCTGTGTCAACAGGGCTGGACACACAGGATCAGTGGGGTAGCTCCTAGGGAGGCAAGGGTAGGCACGTGTATCCCTAGGAGAAAAACTAAAGGCATGGGATGGGAGCGGAGGTGGGTACCGCTCAGCCTGGGTGGGCGGAGGCAGACCCCCTACCCCCCTTGTCCCTGCAGGAACAGGGAAGAGCAGGCAGGGCTGTCACGAAGCACCTCTGGCAGTGACAGGGTGGTCATCCAGGTGTGGGCTCAGTGTGTCCCAGGGCTACTTCCTTCATTTATTTGCTCTTTTACTGATGCGTGGGTCAGGGACTAGAAAGATACGAACCTGGGGTGACTGTTAGGGCAGGTGCCAGCCGTGGACGTCTGTCCATGTGTCCTATCTGGTCACTCTCTTTGGAAGCACTCCCCACCCAAATTCCAAGCTTGGGGACAGCCTTGTGAGCTCGGAGGCCACTGTGTCATACCTAAGTGTTTGTTGAATTAATCATCCCTGGAGAGTGTAGTGACAAAAGCTTTCCCCACTACCTTGAGGCCCCTGGGACAGGAAGCCTGGCTCTGAAGGCCTGGACGATAAGAAGAGGGGTGGTCCTCTCCACTGTCTGGCCTCTGTGACTTTTTGTATTGGGGGATCACTTCCTGTTTCCGCCCCTACCTGCTGGGGCTTTGATGGCAGCCAACTGAAGCAGGAAGAGAAGAGGGCTTGGAGGATGTGCAGGGTGCATCCCATGGTTTCCAAGTTGTTTAGGTTGCTGCGAGGGGTGGTGAGGATTGTCCGTGCCTGGGGGAATTGTACTGGCTGGAGACCCCAGGCAGCAGCTGCCCTGCACCCCCACCTCACGTTTACACTGTAGGGGAGTCCTGTTCTTCCGGCTGCGGACTCCCAGCAGCCAAAAGGCGCCCACAGCTGGGATCCGGTGCTGCAGCAGTGGCGGCCGGCTGGCTGGCCGGGGTGGGTATCCGATGCCGAATTCCACAGCCAAGCTGTGAGCAGCCACATTCCACAGATTCTTATCAGCTTTTTTTTTTTTTTTTCTCCCCCTTTAGTTCCTGGAGTGAATACTGAGAACCAATCTCCTGTGTTGATGGCAGGAGGTTGGGAGAAAATTAGAAACAGGAGTCCCCGCTTTCTTTCCTGCTCTGTTACCAGCTGGTGGTGCCCCCTCGGACCCTTCCTTTCCTTCCTGGGGCCTCAGGGTTCTCATATGTCCACATCAGGGCGGGTAGGAGTAAGATGATCTTCCCTGGACCCCTTTGGGGTTCAAAGCCTTCGAAATTCTCGCTCCTGGCCCACAGGACACCACAACACAATGCAGTTCCTGCCTCCCATAGAGACAGGTCCTTCATCAGCTGGTTCACTCTTTCAGCTGACTGGGCTGGGTGTCGGAGTTGTGGCAGAGCGTATTAAGCCACTGCCTGTGATGCTGCCAACATCCCACATAGGTGCCAGTGTGAGTCCTGGTTGCTCCACTTCCGACTCAGCTCCCCCATTGTTAATGGGCTGAAAAAAGAGAAGCAGTTTCTGGACCCCCTCCATGCACCCATGTGGGAGACTCAGAAGAAGCTCCTGGCTTCTGACTGGTCCATCTGGGGGAGTGAATCAGCAGAAGCAAGATTTCCGTTTTTCCTCCTTCTTTCTCTTTTTTTAAAAGTACAACAATGAGGGCTGGGCCTGCCTCAGCTTGGGCCAAGAGCTTGGGCCTCCACCTGGGTCTCCCACGTGGGTGGCAGGGTCCAACACTTGGGCCATCCTCTGCTGCCTGCTCAGCAGAGGTGCTTTAGCAGGGAGCTGGAGCAGCAGTGGAGAAGCTGGGTCCTGGGCTGGCAGTCCGACAGAGCACTCTGAATCCCTAGGTGGGTCAGTTTGCTTAGGAGAGCAAAACCTCCTGACCACAACATCCCTCCTGCAAATACCACTGGGAAGTGACTTTGAGGACATGAAGTTGGGGTTCCCAGGGCTCTCCCCCTCCCTCAGCCGGACATGGTCCCCAATCCGAGGCCAGCCTGGGACCCTTCCAGCTTGGTCGGTCGTCTTCTGCCAGTGGCCACAGCCATCTGCTCTAGAATGTTGGATGGCAGTTGGCTGCTCTTCCTCCAGGGGCTCTGGACAGGACCAGATTGAGTTGTGAGAAAGCAGGGCCCCAGACAGAGGCAGCACACCTGTATAGGTGTCGGGGTCGTGCTCAGGGACAGCTTTCAAGATGCTGCCTGTGCCTGGGAGGAGGGGGCAGGTGCCCTGTCCCATCCTGAAGCCACTTGGAACCCACCCACACGGCTCCCTCTTGCCCATGCCGGCCCCTTGCAAGGCCCTCATGCCTGTGGTCAGCTAAGCAGTTGCTCAGTTGGGGATGATTCTGTGGGGAGGGTGGCACCTGGTTGGGGACCCACCCACAGCTGGGCACTCCTGGGAGATAAGGCCTCATCCCCAACCCCCTGTTTATTCTAGCGACACCAATTCTTTTCTCAGCTGCGTTCGGTGGCAGATCCTAACAGGGCTTGGTGGCTGAAAGGTGGGCCACTGTCACCTCCTTTCAGACCAGAAGGACAGGACATCGGTGCCCTTGCAGCAATGCCAATAGGCATCCCGGTTGAGAGAGGGGCCGCCGTCCTTCACAGCCTCCTACCCGCTGACCTGACTGTTGCTGTCCCCACAGGCACTGGTGCCATCATACGGTGACGCGGACCGTGTCCTGCCAGGTGCAGAACGGCTCGGAGACGGTGGTGCAACGTGTGTACCAGAGCTGCCGCTGGCCGGGGCCCTGTGCCAACCTCGTGAGGTAAAGGCCGCTGGGCTGCCTCGTCCGGTCATCTGCTGGGTACGGGACGCGGGGTGCAAACAGGAGAGGGGCCCTATTCCTGCCTAGGCAGAACCTTACAAGTGGCGGGCAGCAGGGCTGGACCACACCAGATGCATAGGCCGAGTGGACCGGGTGGATGCGGAAGGACCAAGAGCAACTCAAGAGGGAACCAGCGGCCAGGGGGTATCCCAAAACCCAGTGTGGGGCTGGGGAGTGGGCATCCTGCCGACCACGCCTCCTACTAGCTCAATTCCTCCACTAGTCCCACATCCAGACCCCCACCATCCAGGTAGCTCTGCCCACCCACGCCTCCTAGCTCACCCATCACGAGCCCTGTTCCATGCCTCTTACCAGCCCCAACCCTCCCACAACCCTTCCCTGGGACCATACCTTTTAAAAATGTCTATTTTTTAAAAAATGATTTATTTGCATTTTTTTATTAGAAAGGCAGATTTACAGAGAGAAGGAGATACAGAAAAATCTCCCATCTGCTGATTCACTCCCCAAGCGCCTGCAATGGCCAGCGCTGAGCTCAAATATGTGCCTGCACTATGTAATGGTTTTTGGGTTTAGTAGACGATCCATCGAGACTCTCTGTCCGAAAAAGCTTAGAATGAAGGGAGAAGCAAGCAAGGTCTCTTAATTTCGGAAGTACAAGTTGAGGCCGGTGCTGTGGCAGTGTCAGGACTTCCAAAGCTGGCATTCCACATGGGCGCCGGTTCAACTCCCAACCACTCCACTTTCCTATGCAGCTCCCTGCTGATATACCTGGGAAAAAAGTGAAGGATGGCCCAAACACTTATCCACCTGCCGCCTATATGGGAGACCCCAATGGAGTTTCTGTCTGCTAGCTTTAGCTTGGTCCAACCCAGGCTTTGGCCAATTTAGGGGAGTGAACCAGCTGACAGAAGAGCTCTGTCACTGTCCCTTTCAAGTGAATGAAATAAATCCTGCTATGTGCTAGGTTTTCGTATTTTGGGGGTGCAGTACTGCACCTTGGAGCGTACTCAGGGGTTGTGGACTGGTCTGTGACATTCTCTCTCGATGTTCATGGCGGGCTTCTGCAGCAGGACCTGGGTCAGAGAGTCGCGTTTCAGAAACTTCGAGGTCTTCGGAGTGGCTGTCCCTCCCTCTCCAACTTTCTGTTTGTTTCTTCATTTCCTTCCCGCTTTCCCGAAGCTGTGCGGGGTTCCATTTCGCTTCCCTTGGAAGCAGCCTTGCAGCTTGCATGTGTGTGCCTGCACAAGTTTTGCAGGCATGTTCCGGGCACCGTGACCCCAGTTAAGACCTGTCGCCGCTGCCTGACCCCTGCCAGGCAGCATGCTAAGTCCTTCAGTTTTGTCCTTCCAGAATCTTCTCTGCCCGCTCTCAGAGCACAGCGGGGGCTTGTTGGAAGCACCTGTCCGCCTACCTATCTCTACCCATCTGTCCTCTAGGCCCCTGGAGAGGGAGCCACATCCGCTTGTTCTTATAACTCCCTCCCTACTTCTTCCCGTGTCAGCCTCTTCCTTTCCGCCCCTGTTCCCACACCCCGCCAGCCTCTCGGACTGCCCACTACTGGGAGGGCAGCGTCCCAGTATGGAGTCCAGAAGGAATCCGAGGTTGTGAGCTCTCATGGCACTGCCCGTGTCTCCCACGTGGAGGTGAACTTAGCCTTACCCATCAGCAGGAGTGCCTTTGGATGTTGGCACCCTGCCCCCTCGCAGCATTCCCTGGCACTGGAGCCTGGGGTGTTTGTTGCTTCACCTTGCTCTTCTTCCTTTGTTCATTTATGCATTTTGTTCACTCACATCTCCTGTGGGCTGGTTGCACAGCAGGTCATGGCTAAGCAAGGGGTGGATTTTTTTGTTTTTTTTGTTTACATCTACCCATGTCTAATAGTTTCAGCATCCTTTGCTGGAAAGACTGTCTACTGAATTTTTTTTTAAGATTTATTTATTTTTATTGCAAAGTAAGATATACAGAGAGGAGGAGAGACAGAGAGGAAGATCTTCCATCTGATGATTCACTCCCCAAGTGAGCGCAATGGCCGGTGCTGTGCCGATCCGAAGGCAGGAGCCAGGAACTTTTCCCATGTCTCCTGTATGGGTGTAGGAACCCAAGGCTTTGGGCTGTCCTGGACTGCTTTCCCAGACCACAAGCAGGGAGCTGGATGGGAAGTGCAGCTGCCGGGATTAGAACCGGCACCCATATGGGATCCCGACACACTCAAGGCAACAACCCCAGCTATTAGGCCATCGCGCTGGGCCCTACTGAATTGTTTTGTCAAAACTCATTTGGACATATCTGTGTCAGGTTCTTCATTTGAAAGATCATCAGAGGGCCCGGCGCGGTGGCGCAAGTGGTTAAGGTCCTCTCCTTGCACGCCCGGGATCCCATATGGGCACCGGTTCTAATCCCGGCAGCCCCGCTTCCCTTCCAGCTCCCTGCCTATGGCCCGGGAAAGCGGTCGAGGACGGCCCAAAGCTTTGGGAACCTGCACCCGCGTGGGAGACCCGGAAGAGGCTCCTGGCTTTGGATTGGCATAGTATCGGCCGTTGCGTTCACTTGGGGAGTGAATCATCGGACGGAAGATCTTCCTCTCTGTCTCTCCTCTCTGTATATCTGCCTTTCCAATAAAAAAATAATAAAAATAAATCTTTAAAAAAAAAGAAAGATCATCAGAAAGAGAGGGAAAGATACAGACAGAGAGAGAGAGAGCTCTTCCATCTGCTGGTTCACTCCACAAATGCCCATGAAATGCAGGACTTGGCTAGGCCGAAGTCTGGAGCAGGGATCTGGAGTTCCTCCCGGGTCTCCCACACGGGTGGGCAGGCCCCAAGCACGAGGGCCATCTTCTGCTCCCTTCCTAGGCACATTAGCAAGAAGCTGGATCAGAAGTGGAGCAGCTGGGATTCAAACTGGTGTCCTGCTATGGGATGTGGTGTTGCGAGCAGCAGCCTAACCTACTGCCCCCAACCCTACCCCATGTGTCCATCTGTTTCTAAGCTCTGTGCTTCGGCCTGTTGATATACGTACCAGTTACTCTGCCAGTCTCGGCTGTTGGATCTCTAGTGAGTCTTGAAGTCAGGTGGATTTAGTCTTCTCACTTTATGCTTCTTCAGAATTGGTTTGAATAGTGGAATCCTTTGTATGTCCATATACATTTTAGAATAATCTTGTCCGTGTGTACCAAAAAATACTTGATGGGATTTTAATAGGAATTGTATTAAATATCTCTATGCATTTTATGCTTTTAAAATAGTTAGAATATACCTGTTTTGCTAGATTTTTCTCTAGATTATTTTATTTTTTGAGTGATCATAAAAAAGTATTGTTGGGTATCAAATGTGTCAAGTTCTATTTTCTATTTTGATGTCTTAGCAGTCTTTGCCAGTATATGGAAATACCCTGGGTGTCCGTGTTTATCTTGTAGCTGGTGACCTTGCTGAACTCACTCACTGGCTCTGGGAGTTGTGTTTAGTTTTCTGCAGATTCTGGGACATTTTCTGTGCGTTCAGTTGCAGCTAGAGACAGCCTTCTGTTTGTTTGTTTTGTTTTTCCTTTCTGATGTGTGTGTGCCTTCTAGTTCCTGGTCTTGCTTTTGGACTGGCTAAACTTCCAGCACTGAATTGAACAAGAACAGAGAGAGAAGATAGAGTGCTACATTTCCAATACGGAGAGAGAGAGAGAGAGAGAGAGAGAGAGAGCACTTTCATCCGCTGCAAAATGTCCACAGCCACCAAGGCTGGGCTGAGAACTACCTCATCTCCACGGCCAACTGCTGCACCGTCTCTGCTTTCCGCTGGGGCGGTGTTAGCAGGAGCCTGGAGCCAGGAGCCCGGAGCAGGTGTTTAACCCAGGGGCTGCTGTGCTCTCTCCCAGGGATGGGACTAGCTGTCCACCTTTAGCAGACGCACTTCTTCAGGCCCAGGCAATTCTCAAAGTTTTTATCGTGGCGGTGTTGAATTTTCTTCTATATATATATATATATATTTAATATTGATTAATCATTGGGTGAATTTCTCCCCTTGTCTTGTTAGTGTGGCGATTGTTTGGAGGGATTTTCACCTTTTAAACCAGCGTTGCAGCTGGCTGGTGGTAACAGGGGACGTGCGAGCATCCACCCAGACCCTGTTGCCTAGTCTCTTGGGAGGAGTGTCTGCGTCCATAGCCACCGGGGCTGCAGGCTGCCAGCTTGCCTGGCTTGCACTGGCCTCGTCTGGCCTTCGTTCCAGGGTAGTAACAACCGTTTCACAAACCAAACAAGGACGTGTTGTCTGCTGCCCCGTTGTATCACAGATGTGCGTGCTTGTGAACGTGCCTGGTAGAAGTCTGCAGAAAAAGCAGCTACGTCTGCCTACTCCTTTGGGGCAATTTATAAGCCACCAATGTCATTTCCTGTATAATTACAGGGAGTGTTCAAGTGGTCTGTTTGCATTGAGCGAGTTGTGGTCATCTCTTGCCTGCCTTTTTTTTTTTTTCTTTTTTTCTCATTGTTCTGTCTTACCTAAGGTATTAATTAAAAAAAGAAAAAGAAAAAAAAATTTATTTACAGGCAAAGAGAAGACAAAAAGGGAGAGAGACAGTGAGATCTTCTATCTGCTAGTTTATTCCCCAAATAGCTATAACAACCAGGGCTGGGCCATGCAGAAGCCAGAAGCCAGGAACTCCATCTGGGTCTCCCATGTGAATGCAGGGACCCAAGCACTGGGGCCATCCTCTGCTGCTTTCCCAGGTGCACTCGCTGGGATAAAAAGTTGGGTAAAAAGTAGAGGAGCTGGGACTAGCACCATGGCTCAACTGGCTAATCCTGCACCTGCAGGCACTGGCATCTCATATGGGCGGGGGTTCATGTCCCAGCTGCTCCACTTCCTATCCAGCTTCCTGCTAATGCGCCTGGGAAGGCAAGCGAAGACAGCGCAAGTGCTTGGGACTTTGCTTCCCATCTAGGAGACCCAGATGGAGTTCCAGGTTCCTGGTTTCTGCCTGTGCCAGCC